TAGACCAAAATATATTCTACAGCTTTCACACATCAAAGTAGTCAAATGTGTCTACTTTGATGTGTCACCTTTGGCAGATATTGCTCCTTCTTCCTGGGGTAGTTCTGGTCTAGCCTGGTTATCTTTTGGGTGGCTGTAGCTCAGGTGGTAGAGCGGGTCACCTACTCACCGGAAGGTCGGTGGTTCGATCCCAGGCTCCTCCAGTCTACATGCCAAATATCCTTGGGCAAGATACCCCATGTTTGCTTACTGGTGGTGGTCAGGGGGCCTGGTGGTGCCAGTGTCCGGCAGCCTCGGCTCTGTCAATGTAGCTTGCCATTACCTGAATGACTGAATGCAGTGTAAAGGGCTTTGGGGTCCTTAGGGACTAAGTAAACCCATTTTGTGGTTCCTGAAAAAGGCCTTTGTGTATAATTCTGAAATGTACATTATTTTTCAGTTTTGTGTAACCTTACCTTTTTTAACCTCTGGCATTTCACAGCTTATCATTGTACCATTTCAAGGTATTCATTGGACTTGAATGACTTGAATTGCAATAAATAACTAGAAAATTGGGGTGTTCTAACCGGTAGTGTATAAAGGACCTTACTTTAGCTTTAGGCTTTGCTAATAGAGTAAAATTTGCCAACACATGAAGAAAATTGTTGGTAATTATGCTTTAGCGCGTTACACAATGCAGGTCCTCTTGAAGCTAACCACGACTCTCTTCATTCTTTTCAAGTAGTAGATCAACTTAAAACATGCATGAGGAAAGTGCACTTATTTGGTTTCATTTTATGTCAATGAAACCAAATAATAAACTTATTGAGAAATAAACTTTCTCAATGCAAGTAATTTATCTTCTACAGTTTGTTCACCTATGGTGTACCACAAGGTTCAATCTTAGGTCATATTTGATTCACGCACTCTTAATACACGATTTAATTTTAAGGACATAGTTTTGTACTTTGTATAGATTCATTTTGTTTTTGTTGTTCTTTTTAAAATGGACTTTAAGAAGTTTATTGTGCAGTAAAAATAAGGGCAAAGTTTAGGCTATTTTTATTTGGCCTGTTTTCCAAAAAATAATTATTCAGATACATTATACATAGGGGTGGGTTTTGATTATTGATTAAAATCGATTCTAGCTTGGATAACGTGATATCGATTCATTAAAATCTTGAATCGATTTTTAAATATACATTTATTTTGCCCTCAGGTTAAACCTCACAAAATTTCAACAACCACCAAACAGCTAGGGCTGCCACAAACGATTATTTTGATAGTCGACTAGTCACCGATTATTTATGCGATTAGTCGACTAATCAGATCATCATCCACTGGACGTAAAACTACAGCTTATTGCACCAGCAGCATCTGCTCTTATATAACTATCATTAGCTTACAGCTTTAAGCTTTTAAGGTGCTAACTAAAAATAAAGACAAGATGATAGTTTATTCAATTTTAATGAAATTTGCAGATTGTTTCGGTAAAGTTTAATAAACTCCTTGCTATCTAATATATAACAGGACACCGGAGTATATTCTCCAGCATCTCACACTTCTGATAATCAGCTGTCTGCTTGACGTTTATTCAGCTGTGTAAAAACTATAACTTTAATCTCAGCCAAACCGATTTACTCAGGAACAAATAAAATACAAAAAAAAAAAAAAAAAAAAAAAAAAAGCCAAACAACAACATTTTTAATTTATCTAAGTGACTCATATATATTTAACCTGAGTCGCGAAAGACGGCGGTGAGTTTGAAAACAATTTGCCGGGAGTCCGGTGTTCTCACGGCGCTAGTGACCTAGCCCCCGGCTAGCTATCGAGCTAGTGGGTAACAGACGTCTCCGAAAACGTCGGAGCGCTTTTGAAAATATGTGGTGTCCTGATAAACTGAGCCGATATTTGAGGTTTACACAGCTACATTCTCGCCTGAAAATATGTTAAACGTTTATTTTGTGACCCAGAAAGAATAATAAGAGTAATATTAAAACTAACTAGCTACCGCCATTGTTGGAAACTAAGCTGGGCCGCGCTATGAATTCTGGGACACAGCTGCTTCTTCTTCTTCGGGGTTTAACGGCAGCTGGCATCCTTGTACATGCTGTGCTGCCATCTTCTGTTTCAGTCCGTTATTACACTCTTAAATCCTGCTATTATTCCTGCGTCTTTTGCGATCTTACAAAGCTTCAAACGACACGTCGACTATTAAATCAGTCGTGGACGATTTTGATAGTCGACGTAATCGTGACTAGTCAACAAATCGTGGCAGCCCTACAAACAGCTAAAACAGTAAATGAGAGCAGGAACACGGATTCTGCACAAAGACGTAAACACAAAGCGCGGACCCGCCGACGCATCAAATCATTGAGATGTCGCCTTTCTCACCCGACGGCACGGACACGGTCGGGGCTGAAAGCTGACAGCTCGCTGATTCTGATCCATCGGCGGGTCCGTGCCTTGTGTTTACGTAATTTTTGCGCTGATTCTGAAGCTGCAGGTTTTACTTCTCTCCAATATGAATTCCCTCTGACTTTTGCTGTTTTGCTTCCAGCATGATAAAAATCACACTTCATGCAAAGCGCGCTGTCTCTGTGTGTGTGTACTTCAAGGACAGTTTCCCGTCTAAAAATCTGTTTTCTGCATTATTCGCTTGCTTATTACGCGCAAGTCTACCGTTGTTTACAGCGCTGTCGGACGCTGTTTTTTCCTTTGCCTACGTCCGACAAGAAAGCCTCATTTCTGCCGTTCAATAGGCTACTGAACAAATTTAAACTTATGTAAATTATGCAAAACGCTCAGCTGTGTCTCTAATAAAACCTCTGTAACTCTTCTCTGCTTCACTTCAGCAGCATCAGGTAATGTTCATGAGGTGATTCATGGTTTTCTTTCGTTTTTGATCTACTGCAGAATATTTGTATAAAATCGCAGGCCAGGAAAATCACCTTCATGTTTTTCTGTTTTTATCCTCAGCTACTTTGACACAAAGACATCTGCTGTGATGCTCACACCTTGGATAAAGTCTCACAAGTGTCAGCTTTCTTTTTATAGACAAAAAATATGGAAATGTTGATGCGTTATCTGAATTATAATATTTCTGACTGTCTGAGGCAAAATTTTACCGATTTGAATAGAATCAAATCAAATCGTGGATCGACTCGATTCTAGAAATCAGTGACGATACCCAGCCCTAATTATACAAGTACTCAAATTGTTAGCTTATAACCATCTAAATACATGTTACTGTAGTGTACATAACAATGTCATAATAAAATTATTCAACTAGACTCAAAACAAATCCCGTGCCAACATGTTCTTGTCAGTCTTAAAACTTATTGTCACTTTAAATAGCTACAGTGTCATTATCATCATCACTTTGACCTTCAGAGAAATTTTATCCTTGAAGTTGAGGTCAGAGGTCAAATGTGACATGATGTTGTAAATCTTTATTTTCAACATTCAGAAAGTACTGTATAAACACCACAAGTGTAAGAATGATAGTTTCTAAGTTATAAAGCTTCCTGTCCATTTTCTGCCAGTTTAAGCTGATTTTGAAGACAAATATTAAAGGACTGCTGATATGGCCCCACTCTGCACCTCTACAAAGTTTTATCAGAATTCAATCAATACTTTTCGAGCCATGTTTACAGACTGAAAAACATACACACAAACCCTACCAAAAACATAACCTTCTCAAGGGAGAAAAAAAAAAACAGATAAACCTGCCCATAAACCTGGTGAACAACACATAAACAACGACGATCTTGAGAATAAAAACAGTACTTTCACACTAAGACCTCGAGGTTTGATTATAACACCTTGAACAGGTTACTCTCACGACTTTGATTAGTTCAGAACGCAGCAGTGCAGCTTTTTCCTGGTTTTAGCAAACATCACATCACTCAAGTCTTGGCTTCCTGCACATTTTAGAATTGATTTTAAGATTTTGCCCTTCCCATTTAAACCACAGATCTGGGTCTAGGCCCAGGCTACACTGCAGTGCAACCCTTACAGCTCCAAAGTCCAGACTTAAATCTAAAGGTGACCCTGCTTTTTTTCATCAGGACCCTTTGGCTTTTAACTAACTGCCCGGGGAGATAAGGGTCAAGAAGTCAGGAACCTTCTTTAAATCGCTTCTTAAAACACATTTTGTTTATAGGTCTTTTTTAGGTATAGGTTTTATTTTATAGGTTATCAACTTTCAATTTGTTTTGTTTATTATCTGTGTTGCAGGCTCTTGGGTACCCTAACTGGGATGTCTGCATGAGAGTGAGTCAAGAGTTTGCTACACCTATGTTGGAATAGTTAAAAAGACAAAACCTCACACTGTTACTCCGGTAACTAACTGAAACTAAATTAGACAGAAACCAAAAATAGGAAACAAAATAAGAACAAAAGCTCGTTTTTAAATGCCAGCCGTTTCCCACGCAATGCAACCTAGTTAAAGACATAAACAACACTGTCACCACATGTCTTGTTTCTTCTAGGAAAGGATATTACGCCACTAAATGAAAAAATGCAAGCGTGAGTCTGATGTCATTAAATGCTGGTGGTATTGGGTTTTCAGTAGTTTGCGTCCCAAATTCAACTGCTATGAGTCCTGTACTACACAAGCTCTTGCTCTGAGTTCACGGTTACCTCCAGGCAGCAACACTAACCGTGAATTTGTTGCATCGTGACCGCTGACACGTCCTAAAACGTCCTTAAATGTCTGAGGAGTGAGTGGACCGGAGCAAAAGTAGCTGAACTCACACATCAACTCTGGGATCACCAGCTCACATTCAGCATGAAATGTCGGTGCTTCAGTTTGTGAACAAGAAAGACTGTTTCGAGTCAAAGTCAAACTAAACTACTCCGGCTACAGTCTACCTGCCGAGCTGGTCTCCCTGTTAACTTTCAGGTGTTGTTTAAAAGGGAATACCGACGACAAACATGCAAATTCAAGCTTGAAAGCCAGGCTCAGATGGCACCGCTCACCCGATTAGAGAACAGAAACGCCGCCGTATATATCTCACCTTTGTCGCGGCTCTGAGGACACCGAGTTACAGCTTTGAACCGACAGCAAAGTGGACGACTTCCGCGGTCCCACCGGCGACGGCAGCAGGCTGGTGTTGGAAGGGGACGCCGAGAGCAGGTTACTGTTCCCGGAGGAAGGAAACGAGCCTCTGCGACACTCCAGCAACACCTCGGTGCTCCCCACATCGTTGAAGTCCGTGTCCGACGGCAGGACGAGAATCGGCGGCACGGTGGTGAGTCCCGTTCTCGGTGCCGCGGAATGAGTGACTGTCCCGCTGCTTACGGAAGCTGGTACATTAGAGAATGTCCCGTAGCTACTACTGTTGCCGGTATCCGGACACAAACCGGCTGCAGCCCCGCCGCAGAGCTGGAGTCTGCTCCCTCCGAGTCGTTGTGTTTGTGGTGGCGTGTTCCTTGATTTTCAGCGGAATTACTCTGGACTGGCCGGCCGTCCAGGGAGATGTTACTGAGAAACAAAAGAGCCGCTTGTCTCCGTCGAGAGTTCTCACGGTTCCTCCGGCTATGTTCTCTGTTAGCATGCGGTTTTTTGCCACTAACGGTGGCGGTAGTGACAGCGGTGTGCTGGCTGCAGGCAGCCGCCGCCATCGTCTCTGTCTCGGCCCCACTGAGGAAGTCAACTGAAGGATCAGCTAGAAACCTGCTACTGTCAAATCCCTTTTACCCGGCGCCAGACCGCTTTACGCCCTCCTGTGCTCTCATTGGTCCAGCTGGGGGAATACGTAATGACGTTTTGAGGCACGCTGTAAACAACAACATACTGTTGGTTAATAATGTGACTGTACTGACCATAAAAGGCTTGATGTACAACTGCAAAACAACAATAATAACAATAGAAATGGCATTTTTTAGAGACATTAGCTCTACATGCTGGGTTAAAAAAGTTCCAAAAGTAATTACATTACTTCTTAAGGTTTGTTTGCAATGATCAAATCTTTATTTGAGACTAATTAATCTACATTAATTAATTGTAAATTCTGCTTTGTTCATGTTAAATAACCTATAAAATAAAAAATGCATCCATAACCCTTGTTACAATCCAAAGAAACCCAACAAATATTTGTACAATTAAAAGCAGGATGTTGTTTTAATTTCCTGAGTTTAATATCTCCCCTCTCTTTTTTGTCCTTGCTCCTTTTCTTTTAGGTAACATCACTATTTCCTGCACTATCTATGTAATTCTTCTACACATCACCGCACAGTATGAGGGCTGCTGAGGCACTAACTGAGCTGTCATTGCAGCGTTGCCTGAATGCAGCTTTGATTGGCTGTTGGCACTTTGTTATGAAACCTCAGTGGATTTTCTTTGCACTGATCCCTGCAGTGACACCACCACTGGGCTAAGTGAACTTGGTCGGTGTGGCAGGACAACCACACTGTGAAGCATGACTGGTACCCTGCTAAATATAACCTGTAGGGCACAGGACACTGTAATCCTCACAGGCTTGGAGTTTGTCATCGTGCACTAACCCTCCTGATCCCCTACATCTGCAGAGCAACCGATGAACTGCAACCGACCTTCCAGCTGAGTTAGAACAATAACAGGATGGAGATCCAAAGCTGATGTCATTTTAACTCAGCTCCATTTCACTGGAAATTCTTGTTGCAATTGCATGATATCATGTTATGTACAAAAACAATTATCCGAAACTCTAAAGCTTCACATTAGGGCTTGTAACAAAGACCAAAATATGCTGTAAGTTTATTTATGATAGGGCGTGTAATGTGTGCCACGAGTGCTTCAGTTGGTCTTGGAATTGATTCTCTTTGCATTCTTAGGACTAATGGAAATAAAACAATGTAAAAGTCGAGATGCTGGTGGTGAGTTTTGTGTAATATGTTCAAAATCTTCCTTAGGTCTTCAGCTGGGTTGAGATATGATTACAATGAAGGTCTTAGCAGACAATTCACATCCTTTTCTTTCTTGTCAACCATTCTGTGATGGCTCATTCCATATAGATCGAGACACTGTTATCCTGGAATGGACCACATCAGGACAGAGATCTTTCATCATAAAGGTGAACAGTTTTGCATTGATTTACAGAGTACCTTCCTTCTAAGGGACAAGTGGCTCAAAATTATACAGCACAACTCCTGCAGCAGCAAACTAGAGCCACCAGATCACCTTCCTGCATTTTTAAAGTAAAATCTAAAATAAATATCAACCCTTTTAAGCTACATTTTATTTTCATCCATACAGCAATTTAAGATAAATTATTATTATTATAACATTTGCTCAGTGAAGATCTAACAGAATTGTAGCTGTATATACGTTTGAAGGTCTTTTTAAGCCATTCATAAACAACTGCAGATCATCAGTTTCAACAAGTACACAAAATACAACATATTCAGATGTGTCACCAATTTGCAGAGGTCTGAAAGAAGACATAAACTGTCACCATCAGATGGTTAGAGGTAACCCAGATTTTCAGCTACCCGCATGGACAAGCCAAATGTTCTCTGGAGAAAGATTTTATGGTCAGATGAGACAAATATGGAAATATTTGGCCACAATGACACGAGGGATGTTTAGAGGAGTCAGGGTGAGACTTTCAAACCTCAGAACACTCTACCAGATGTCAGCTGTTTAGCCGCCAATGTCACTGATGCGCTGCACAAAAAGGATGAAATAATAAAAAAGCATGACAACGTCCTCCAAAATATGCAACTTCACCTCCGATTAGTTAGTTAGACAGTGAAAACATGGACACTGTTGGGTGTTGTAACAGGACAATGATCCCTGACACACATCAAAACTGTATGGATAAAGCAGGCTATCATTAAGCTCGCAAATCCCAGAATTCAGCCCTATTTTAAATTTCCAAATTTTAAAATCCACCAAACCAATCAATTTAAATAAAGTCTGTCAGGAAGAGTGTTTAAATATAAAGCTGGAATTATTCCAGAATCTTGTTGATGGCTACTAAAAGCATCTGGTGGAGGGAATTTAACCAAAGTGTGTCCGTAAATGTGTGGATGACATAAAAGTAACTTTGAAATCTAACTTTAATGTTGATATTTCTTCACACAGTACACACGTATTTTGGAAATAAAGTTCAGCAGTTGTTTCTAAAGCCTGTCTTGATAGCTTGATAGTTTTTTTTAATAATGCAATATCATCAAAGTGGCACATATTTAGTTTAAATAAGACAAACAGATAAAACAGCTGTTTCAAAAACTAATAATAAATTGGGCCTTTAAATTAATAATTTAACACGAAATCCTTTTTTTAAGCCAATTTAGCAAATTTGGTTACTAACAAAAGCTTAAACACATCTTTTGGATTTGAGGGACTCATCTATAGTTAGGAAAACACGAACCCAGGATTACCCAGTGTTTTTCATATGACACTGGAAGAGGGATTGTGTGTGTGTGTGTGTGTGTGTGTGTGTGTGTGTGTGTGTGTGTGTGTGTGTGTGTGCGTGCGTGCGTGCATAGAAAGAAAGATGACATTATGATATGTTATTAAACGTTACCACATGGATGATTCCAGAGATTACAGAGCTGTAATCTGATGATGAGGATTGAGTTTATACACACACACACACACACACACACACACACACACACACACACACACACACACACACATACACACACACACACACACACACACACACACACTTTACATTGCCTTGCATTTATTTCCTACAGGCTTAGCTCAACATAAATTATCTTCATTTCTCATAATAGAACTGAACATTATCTAATTGCTTCTCCTGGTATCATCCTCACATGCCAAATTAAGTTTCAAGACACAAAAACTGTAATCTCGACCTCTGACTTTAGATGTGGGTCAAGAAGTAACTGGAAAATGAAGAAGGAGCTTGGAAAAGCTTACATGAACAGAAAAGAAAGCCTTTCATTATTTGTCAGTCTTGTCAAGTGTGAAGAATCTTAGTCACAAGGTATTTTGTGGGGTTTTCTATATTAAATGGAAAACTGTAAACATCTCCTTTCTCCTCTCTGCTTCTAGAACACCCAGTACTCTCCATGAATTCATATTTTTAAAGCACTTTTCTGCAGAGCCGTTCGCAGCGCCTTTCTTCCATTTGTTCATTCTCAAGAGATTAAAACCAGCCTTTTGGCTAACGATGATGCGTTTAGAGGACCGTGTATCGCTTCTGATGAAAATAAAGTTACAAATAAATGCAGGCAGCTTTGTTCTCTTACATAATGAGACTAAGTGACTCGGGTGAGGCTCATGGGTGTACTGACTCTCTTGGGCTCTGATGCTAAGTGAGGCTGGCATAGAGGGCTGGAGGGGAGGGAAGCAGTGTACCATGGGAAGGTCATGATGCTGCTGCCATGATAATAGGTCAATGCACCGTTGGGACGGAGACAAATCTATCTGTTTCTATTTGAGATCCAGTGATGTAAATCAAGTTTTTTCTTTTTGAATCCTGCCATGCCTCCCTGTGGTGACATGTGGATATTACACTCCCATCGGAAAATAATACTACAGTGTCTTTGTGTAAAGAATGGTGACTGATATGATTGAATGCTAAATATCACATTTTTAAAAAGGAAAAATGATATTTTTTCAATGTTTTGTTTCCATTTTGATTTTCCATCTAAACTTTCACAGGACAACACAGCTCAAATTATGTTTCATTACTTTTATGTTTTATTTAGGCATTTCCTGTCAAGTTATTGAACGTGTAAAAATAAAAACACACAACACATATGCTCACACCTTTAATCTCTGTGATTATGTCGTAATATAATGTACTTGTACTTGTACTTGACTCTTTTATTGAAATATGTGTCACTTGTGCTTCAAATGAAAATTTCAAAATCAGACAGTGGCTACGTGCATTGTTTTGCAAGGAAGCACACTCCATTGGTTGAAAACACATTAGTGCCAAACATAATTTAAAGGAAAAATAATAATAAAATAATTAATTGTTGAGTTTCTTATTCTGAATTAAGGATTTCAGTTAACAAACTGTGCATTTCTCTCATGTTGTTTACTCTTTTTTTCATTCCTCAGAGCTTGAATTTCAATCGAAAACATAAAATAAAAGAAGGCAGGTACTGTCAGACTATTTATATTTATAGTCTGTGGATGTTTCGAGCTTGCTATGAGGCAGTAGGGCGGAGTCACAGTTGAAAGACTGTCTAAATTCCTTCGGTTTGTCGCTCCATCAGAGGTAGTAGTCTTCCTCCTCAATGTCATCGTGCGTGTCCTGGAAACCCAGTGCTTCGATGTCATGGGTGATGTCAGTGATACGTCGGTTGAATTCCTGAGATCCTGAGGCTAGAGAGCAATTATCATACCTGCTGGGAAAAACAGAAAACAAACAGAAAAGGTCTGAAAAACTCACATTTATGTTTTGACTGTAATTCTATATGATAAAAGCATGTGCTGAGATCATATCAGTCTGCACTACCACATCTACATACCCTCTCACGGCGGTGGCAGACATGTTGCTCATGCTGCGTTTGATACGTCCAAAGCTATCGGTTAAAATCCCACCCTCCCGAATCCCAATGCTTTCCAGGAAACTCTCAAATGCGCCGACATCCTTGTCTGGGATAAATGGACGCATCCCTGGAACACGAAGGACAAACAATCAAATGACGGACTCTGAGGAAACACAATAGGCCTATACCAACTACACAATATTGCAAAATACAGCAGTTTTTTTTAACGTAGTGTGCTGGCAAATTACTATTTTTTAAAATGTTACAAATTTTCTGATTTCTTTGATTTTTACAGAGCAAAGGCAGCTAAACGATGGCTGGAATCTGTCTTTGGGCTACAAACCTGAGGACATTAGAATTCAGGGTTTTTGTAATGTTTCAGCAGTAAATTGTTACTTTGTTCCCAAAACATTCTCTAACAATTACATAACAATCTTCAAAAACATTATAAAAGGGTTTCATGATAACCTTTTTCACATGCTTTTTAATTACAATCCTGCAAATTTATGTCATTCTTATTTATTTAGTTATTTTAATGTTCTCACAGTTTTATTGTGGTTTTATAAGTTGGTTACTCTTTATCAGGCTCCTGGGACCTTTGGACAAAACACAGGGCAGATGGTGCTTGTCCCGTCTCTAATTTACAATCACCAATTAAAATTCAAAAAATGCTTTTGGGAGAAAGTTGGAGCACCTGGAAAGAAACAAGTTTTACCCTTGAACCTTTAGTACTAACCACAGTGCCACTGTGCAGTATTGCATGTCAGAATCTTGGCTTAGCTTAAGTTTAAGCTGATGTTTCCTTGCTACACTGACTGTGAGCACCACACCCTGTATTGCACCAGCCCAACGTAGTGCATTATTGTAATCTTCCCCACAGAACTGCAAACTAAACAGTAAAAGAAAAGAACTAACCAGTGTAAGAAGTAAAAGTAATAAGTTGTCAATTTAAAAAAAAAAAAAATTAGAACAGACAGACAGATGGCATCCCATATGGCTTAAGAATACTTTGTTATACAGAGTGGAGTTCATGGTTGATTCAATGACTGCAAAAAGAAAAGCCCAGGTCATCACCCCTCCACCACCGTGCTGGACAGCTGGCGTGAGCTTTTTACACCCACAGCAACAGATTTTCATATTAAAAGTAATCTTTATATTTAAATATATTACTGTGTATAAAAATGTTTGTAACTCCTGAAGAGTAAATGCAAAACTTTTGTTTGACCTCCTGAATTAAAGCTGAAAGGCTGCACTTCAATCAATTGTTTAGTCAAAATTAAAGTCTGTCCAACAAATTACGGACCTCACTGTAACTATATTATATTTTACTCTTCTTTGCATGTTTTAATGGATGTAGAAGAGCAGAGTTCATATCAGGATTTTCTGAATTTACTATTTTTTATGTAAAAATGTATCAAATGCACAAGTAAATGATCTTTTAGATGTTGTCTTAAATTCATAAACTCTCGCAATTAATTCATATTATTAATAGTTAATAACTATGTATTAATATTAAACACAGTAGAGTTCAATAGAAACAGCTTTTCTACGTTATTTAAAATGCAGGCGTGACGACTCCTCAGCCAGTTTTCTTCTTCAGCCACCACTAAATCTTTCATAATGATGATTATACAGCACGCTGAGGATTAACAGGGTGTGTGGAGGAAAACATCATACTATCCTCCTTTCTCTCTCACTCACAAACAGGAAGCTGTGGTTTACGCAGACTGCAGTAAACACACACCAAGAGTACTCACACATGCACACACACACATGAGTATACAGACTCTGCTTCCCCTGCAACACTACCACAAACATAGTATGGATAGTAGGTTGTGGTATGCCACAGGGTTTCAGTAAGTTAATGAGCTCTCTCTCTCTCTCTCTCTCTGTCTGTTCCACTCTATCTGTACATCTCTCACCCAGCAGCAGGAACTTGCGGTTGTCTCCATACAGTTGCAGCAACTCAGAGCAGAAGTAGTCAATGTTTGATCCCAGTCTGTATTCTCTCAGCAACACCGCAAACTTCTGCAGCTCCACTGGAGCCAGCTTGTTACGCAGCTACACACACACATAAAAGGAGACTAAGATGATGATGCAAACAAGCAGGTAACATTTCTTGTTCATTGAATTTTCCCATTTGTGGCAATAATGCAGTGTAAACACAACCTCTTCTAAGTACTTTGTTAATAATTTTACATCTAGTTTCATTGCTCTAAAAATGATCTGTTTACACACACTGTCCTGTCTGCAGCACATCCGTGTGTGAACAGGAGAATCTGTTTGACTTGTGCAAACACAATTATTTTAGTGCAATGTTCAGACTTCTCATTCAAAAGTTTTATTAGTTTATATAGTGTCGTGTGGCATAATGCAAACCAAATTCAAAATGTACAAATCGATTCCACTATGAAGAGCCAGTTTCACGTGCTGTGGGTGAGACTGCTGAACAGCAGTCACTACAAACACTCACAGTGATCATGTACTCCTGCATGAGCAGCAGGCCAGGGTTACTGTCTCCTGCATCACTGACTGATGCCAGACTACGATGGGAGTCCTGCAGAGAGATGGATGAACTCTCGCTGTATGTCTCGCTGTAGTAGAGATCGAAGGCATCTTGGGAACCATCACTGAAAGGCAGAAGAAGAGCGAGCGAGCGAGAGAGGGAGAGGATTACTGATAAACAATAATCACATCACAGCAGCTACTGATAAGCTGCCAATTGTTCACTGAGTTGATGCGATGCTTCTGTGCCAGTTATAGTTCACATCAAAGCATCTAATAACCATTCTTCCATAGTAGCTATTTATAAAACTTAGTGTCTATAAAGCATCATTCTTACGGGATTCTAGCTCATTAATTAATGTAGTTATCTGAGCTTTTAATGGAGTTGACAGTAAAATTTATTTTCATGTTAGACATTGTAAACCAACACAGTACCATTCAACATTACAAGGCTTATAACTGGTAGTTGACATAGCAAAGAGTCCTCAAGACAATGAACCCCAAATACTGTCCTCATTGCATCCATCCATGCAGGTTTCACATACAGTACTTAATCTACAAAGAATAAAGTGCTATAAGAATGCATGCTGGATGAAGGGAGTTTAAATATAAATACTAAAATACAATTTCTTTCATATTTAAACTATTTAAACCAATTATTATCTTCATCACTTATCCAGTTCAGGGTCACAGGAACGATGGCGTCCACCTCAGCCATCACAGGCCGACAGCTGGGGTCCACCCTGGGCAGGTCATCAGTCTGTCATCGTTCGGTTTGTATTCAGGACATCAGAATAAAACCTCTCATAAAAAACAGACCTACTGTCCTGAAAACCTGTGATAATCCCGACTAAAAACGTCAACTGCAGGAATGTGAATATTTTACCTGGTAAAAGTAGTTTTTAAAAACTTTTTGACTTTGTGAGGTTAAATGACTCTGTCTCACAGAAGCGGTGGTGCAGCATGTTACTTACTATGAGCTGCAGCAGCTAAACTCTGGATCATAACTGTAAGACATGTCCGTCAGACAGCTGTCACCTGTGCAGAGACACAGAAGCATTTAATAAGCTTTCTACTATTCACCTGCCCAAGACAGTAGTTAGCCTTTAAATCTCCACAGAGGCTGCAGTGTTTATCAATAAATTCAAAAAATAACCAAAAGACAAATGGAAATAAAACAGTACTAATTATGTTTTGCTCAAATCCTGAAAACGGTGATTAAATTCATAATGGTTCATCCTCTGGGGAGGAAGAAAATTAGCAAATTTATGGGGAGATGGGTACATATACAGTTCTGGAGATTTATATAGCAGCATTACTTACTCCCTTGCAGCCAATAGCGGTCCGGCATGGTGTAGTGAAAGCCCGCCCTGTCAACACATTCGATGGTCTGGTGGCCGTAAATGATCTGGAACATCTGACAGATGAGGGAACAGTACTCCTCTGCAGCATCCTGCACGCACATTCAAACACACAGAGGCCGCTGTCAGGCTGAATTAGCAGACACATCGATCAAAGACATCATCTTTTAAACCTTGAGTTACCCTTCGATCACTTTTGCGCACAGCAAATTCCAGTTTCAGTGCAGCAGTCACATAAGTAAGTGTGTTCAAAGGCACACAAGTGTCAGGATATAAACCAGCAACCACTGAAAGCAGAAACAGGAGTCCACTGATGTGATGAAACACGGCTGGAGGCTGTTAGCGTCATTTGAGCCAGTTAAACAATGACACCCTGCTGCTGCTGAGGCAAAACAAATTATTACTCGGGAGAAGAGGTTAACAGTGACAGAGGAACCCTGTCACCGCACACACACATGCAATGACAAAGCAATTCTGCTGTAAGTGTGATGTAATGATCCAGGTTATGTAAGACTGCAGAGTCTCACTATCACTGTTTGTGTGTGTGCCGATGAATGTGTATCATCATCAGTGTCGCCCTACTTTCCACTGTTTCAGCATGTGAGGCAAATGATTGGAGACCCCTAATTAAACAATGCTTTGCATTTCATTTGCTTTTCATTTTATTTCCTGTCAGAGCTTCTTTTTTTTGCCTCCCATGCTAGGCTAACATGTTTTGGCTTGTTGGTTTTATTAGCGTCATAATAAAACCAGCCATATAAATATACACACACACTGGCAGGGTTGGCTTGAGCATGGGGGAGCGGGCATTAAATTTCATACATTCTTATGATTTTTTTCTATTAATTGAGGTTCTCTGCAATTTTGTTTCACTAAATTATTATAGCTTCTTATGACATTCCTTTCATGATTTACTCCTTCATCGTCTTTTGTGTTTGCCTGGGTCAGGCCCTCATAGCCGGAGTTAAAGGAATGATGATTCTCCCGGGCTGCTTTTGTGTCTTTTATTTGGGGAAGATGTGGTTTGGGATGACTTGTAAGAATCATGTTCATCTCAGGTGTCTGACCCGAGGTGGACTGAAAACAAGAAGAGCAGGCAAACTAAACTCAAAGCACTAAACTCAAAAAGCACAGTGGCCCACAGCTTTCAGAAAGAAGATTATTCAGTGGGCATTTTGGGTATTTGACCACAGCTGAGGGTCCATCATAAAGGCAAGTGAAACAAAATGCCAGAATTTTACTGTCTCAAACTAGATTATGGTAAATTAATTGGTTCTTATACAGCACGTTTGTACTCTGAGCACTCAAATGCACATTACACAACTTCTACATTCACACCAGCACTTTCTCCTACGTGCTTCCTATCACACTCTGATGGATGACTGACTGGGATCAAACCACCAACCTTCTGGTTAGTAGGTGACCTGCTCTACCACCTGAGCTACAGGCACCATGAAGCTATACATTTTTGATAGGTATATCAACAACATATCACCAAGTATCCTTGACAACTCATGTTGTATTTCACCTAAACCTTTTTCCCCTGCACAACTTTGGGTAGTAGTCTATCTCCAACTCAGCTGGCAGTACAGGCAAAATGAATGAAACCAGATGAGGTGAGCAGAAGAAAACAGGGAAAAATAATGTACTTTTTATTTATTTAAATTTTTGTATGTATTTATTCATTTTGTATGCATTTTTTTTATGTTTTTTGTTTCATTGTATTTACCTTTAAACTGGTTGAGATGGCCTTCAGCAAGATCACAAGCTAGCTAATCTGGAGGTTAGCTGTAGCAGCAATCATAAACTCATCTTTTTGTTTTATGACCTGAAATCGTTGTTCAATTAAAATTCACCATCAGTGGCAGAGACCCAGCAGCAGAGAGACCCACTCATCTGTTATCGTTTTAATAAGAGTGAAATTTACATAAATTAATTCACTCTCCACTGGAAATATTTCTAATTATTATTATTATTATTATTATTATTATTACTGACAGTGGATTTTTTTAAAAGTCTGTATTCTTTTTCTAACGGGTCACAGTGTGATTGTGAGAAAAGCTCATTGAGCTCCCCTCAGGTATGAATCATTGCTTCTCCACTCTGCTGCAAGTGCAACAGATAAATGGAGAGAAGAGGTCCTGACAGGTGTTCAAAGGAAGAGACAGTCAAGACAACAACAGGTGTGGGTGTGTGCATGTGCGCACTTGTGTATTTTAAAGTTTTAAATGTGATGTTATCCTTGTGAAATATGAAAATGCGCTGGCTGGTTCGTTTTATTCAGTTATTTTAGAGCTGTAAGTGAGCTCTCTTTTTAGAGCGGTTCTGTGTGCGTGTGCGTTGACATTTATGTATGCTACGTCTAATTATTGATGAAAGACCCTGATAATCAAATGAACTTGGCCAGGTCCCACCAAACAGGTGTCCAGGTGTCTGTAATTTGATGATCTAGTCATGGAGGGACTTTAACTTGCACATTAACTCGCAGACAGCCAGGAGACGCATGCCCCAGCCTTGTAAGTCAAACACAGATTACAAAAAAATCACAAAATGAGGTCCCCAAGCACAACTTCTGAAAGCTGTAATTTAAATTAAGTCAAGTATTTCTCATTTCTTGAAGCGCGTCTGACCCACCCTGTTCTCCACAGCCAGGATGACCAGGTTGCAGTAGGCGTCGGGGCAGGGCGTAGGCTCCAGTGGGTTGTGGTTTCTCCTCTCCCAGCTGCCGTAGCTCTTCCCCCTTTCCCAGCTCCCCGTGCACGCTTGCCTCCGTTCCCAGCTCCCTCCACCAGTCCCTCCCCTTCTCTCCCAGCTCCCTCCTCCACCACCACCTCCACCCCCTCCTCCGTGCCTCCTCTCCCAGCTCCCACCACCACCTCCACCTACTCCGACGCCCCAGTTCCCGCTCATGGGTCTTGCCCTGCGGTTCTCCCAGCTCCCTCCTGTTTTACATGTTGGCTGCCTCCTCTCCCAGCTCCCTCCGACTCTCTTCCTCTCTAAACTCCCTCCACCTCCCTTCTCCCCACTTCCTCCACCACCCCCTCCTCGCTCCACATTCTGATTTTTATCATGGTTACTCCTGGACAGTGATGGCCTCCAGTCAACTCCACAGATGGTGTGTCGCCTCTCCATCGTACCCCCGGCAGGTCGGGGGTCAGCATTGCAGCTCATGGTCTGACGTCGCCCGTCGATGCCAGTTGGCTTTTTCCTGTCCAGGCTGTCATCCCCAGCAACCACAGTGTCCACATTTAGACCTACACAAAACATATAGATCACAAAATCTGACATTTTCAGCATCTCCTCTGTTTTCACAGGACTTTCTTTAGATTATAGTATGAGACATATCAGCATTTTGAACTTGCAGTAAGGACATGAGGGGCAAAATGTGTTTTTGTAATCCTGAATTATTTGAGAGGGGAAAGAAAAAAGAGGAGAAAGTTTGTCCAGTGGGGACAAAAAAAAAATGCAGATAGCCAAATATTTTCATTATGAGATTCTCTAACACACTGTATAAATAAAAAACGAGAAAACAAACTTTTCAGTTCAATTGTATTTTATTTATACAGTACCAACTCAAAACAACAGTCGCCTCAAGGCACTTTATATTATAAGACCCTACAATAATACATAAAGAGAAAAACCCAACAATCATAAGACCCCCTATGATCAAGCACTCTGGCGACACTGGGAAGGAAAAACTCCCTTTTAACAGGAAGAAACCTCCGGCAGAACCAGGCTCAGGGAGGGGCAAACAAAGTCTGTATTCCAGTATGTGATGATAATTCCCCAAATGCTTTAATGCCAAGTGTTTTGTTTAATTTAACTAAAAACTGAAAGCATCATTTAAAAAGTTTTATTGTTGTTCCTCTGTCATTCAGTAACCACCTTCGGTCTCACCTGTCTTGAGGACCAGGAGGTGCAGTGCATCATCTCTCAGGTAGGAGGCAGCAGCGATCTCATGTGTGGGGATTCTCATCAGCAGCTTCTCGTTGTCTCTCCAGGTGAGCAGCAGACAGCGAGCAGACAGGCTCAGGATACAGTCCTGGTCCACGCTGGTCTTCAGCGGCAGAACCTTCAGCTGCTACTGACAAACACACAGGAACACGTGGTTGTAGATTATTCACGAACGAGTCAGACGACAGTGTCATTGTCTCATCACAGTTTAACTCAGGTACTTTAACTCGCAGATCACCTTGACAGTATCCAATGTTTACTAACCCTGGCTGTGTCCAGTAGCTGTAGCAGCTCATCTCGACTGGAGGGGTTCAGTGAAACTGAGACCCATGTCAGGTGACCAAGGAACTATGAGCAGAGATCAAAAGAAAAGCAACTTGTCATGGCGTATTCAAGTATATATTTTTTTCTTGTATTTTACGCTCTCCTGGCCTATTCATGGCCCTACCTTGACCTCCTTCTCCACATAGTCAAAGATGAGTCTCTCGGGGTGTATGAGGTAGTCGGGTGGGTAGAGGGGGACGGTGTGCAGCGGGCGGCGATAAATGTTTCCTCGATCAACTTGTCTACGACCAGATTTGGACCAGACCAGTCGCTTAATGGGAGAGACAAAAGCCTAAAGGAGAGGAAAACAAGGATGCTAAATATTGAAGAGTCCCTCGACAGCCATTGAGTGCAGAGGATATTCTAATACTTGTACTAGAAGGTCAAACCTGCCACTTAACAAACACCTGCTTGATTGATTGGTCCAATATTTTCTTCATGTCAAGTTTCCAGATGATGAAACTTGACTTGTGAGTTTGGTGATTTCCAGCCTTTTCTTGTAGCACCACCATTGTGATTCTTGCTGAAATGTCTCAACAAGTTTTAGATGGATTGCCATGATATTTGGTAAGCATGTTGATGTTTCCTGGATCTTTACAGAGCAGCAAAAAGGTCAACATATTATATAGCTCAATACTTCACGAAGAGATACGAAATCTGAGGCTTTTGTGAGAGTTTTAGGTCTTATTTTTACGTCTACAAATGCACAAAAGCAAATGTTAGCGTGTTAGAATGAGATAAACAAAAAAGATCTCAGTTCACAACATAGGTCATCTCAGGGCACTTCATTCTCTATTAGCTACCACGTGGCATCAACAGGGAGAAAACCTCCAGAAAAAGCAAGCTCACTAATTCTTGTCAGCTTCCTCGATCTATTGGAGTGCTTCCATCCTTTTTTATAGTCTCTCAGTATTAGCATTTAGCTCAAGGTGAAGTGCAGCTGCCTTGTATTACTAACAAGACTTTATCTTGTGTCTCATTTTGTGGTCCTTATGCATCAAACGCAGATGTTTTCTGTATGTTTATGTTTAGAGCAACGGATTCAGAGTTTATTGGCCAATATTTATGATTACGAGAGGATAGATCGTGTTTATTTAATGACCGTTCTTCTAGCATCATCCACAAGGATCTGTACAACGTAAGCTACATCCCAGTTTCTGTGTATTTAGAGTTAGCTCTAACTTTAAGTTTTTGATGTGAATTAGATTAAAAATGCTAAAATTATGGTAAAGGTACTTTTCTTCGTTGATGGTGATTTAGACCTAATGGCAATTAAAAAGAGCTGAATCATCAACAAAGTGTTTATTTAGTGAGAAAATGAGTGTTGTGATTCTAATTACCAGAGCACAGTTCAGTGACTGATAGTGTCTTGAGTTTGAATTTGAGCTGCAGCCACTGAGAAGGTTAATTTGTGTGTAAATGCATGCCTCGGTATAATTGCGTGTGTGTTTATGCGTGTGTGTTACCGCACTATGTGCCTTGGGCTGTCCCAGCAGTGATTGACAGGTGAGCAGTGATCTCTGACAGCTCATCGCTGAGACTCACTGACAACACAGCGCACACTGTTAGACACCCACTGACACACACACACACAAACACACATTAACTGTAGCTAGAAGGCATAAGGAGAGTGGACAATACAACACATACACACACTGAACAGAGAGAGGACATTAGCTTGTCTTAGAGTCAGAAACCTGTCTTGTCTCTCTCTGTGAATTATAACAAGCGCAGATCTCTGTGTAGGCAGATTTCTGATGAACATCTCTTTTGTCAGCTGAATTTAACAAGAAAGACAGAGGATGCTTATAATGAGTTTTGTTCTTTTTCTGGTTCTGTGTCTTTGAGGAGACAAAAAGAAGGGAAATTATTGGATTTGTAATGAATGTGTTCAATCTAACAACCTGCCTGGGTCACAGCAGGGATTAATTTCCCACCTAGCTTTAGAAACTTTTTGATTTCACGTAGTATTTTTCCAAACTTTCATTTTAAATAAACATATTTTTCTCTCTCTAATGTCTTATTTCAGGCTTTAGTAAACTTTGTAATGAGAACATGTTTTTAAAAAATGATTCCAGCCAAATCAAGAACTTTTGGCTTTCATGTCACAGTCAGATGGCCCCATTACACCAAATTGGTTTAGAGAAACATCATTACTGAGTGGTTGTAGTATGGATATACGAGCTAGGGATGAATGCAACAGATGGTAGAATAGAAGAAGAAGGAGACTATCCTCACAAGAGAATTCAAATAGCATCTGTATATTTCTATGAGGTTGGATCATGGCTTTTGCCTTGTGTCAGGCCCACACAATCAGGGGGGCGTGTAGAGGAGGGGCATGGGGTGGTATGTTTTGATTGGCTCAAAACATACCACATTGTTTACCGTCTAATGTGCCAAAAGCGGCTCAGATTATCCCCAGATGTGTTTGCCATCTGGGCATAGGTCATTGATGAGGTGTCAAACATTTAGGCCTTTAGGGGGAACTCCTCTGGGCTTTCCATATGTTAGCAGACTAACTGGTTTTGAATTGCAAATTCTATTTGCAAAAAATTAATTAAAAGAAGGAAGGAAGGCCCAGCACCTTTCCTTGGTTTAGTGTCAGTGACGTACGGATTAACTGCTGTGCTGGCCAAGATACTGACAACCCAGCAGCCAAACCTAGCACCACAATCATGGATCAAGGATATCTTTACAATCAGCAAGGGCCAACTGGTTACACGGTCAGCAGAAATCACACAACAAAAAAGGTTCCTTGTCTTTTATCACTTCTTTTTCATCTTTAGGAGGACATAAGCTTGATAAGCTTGATAAGTGAAGATAGTTTGCTGTTGATCGATGGCAGACAAAGTCAAACTCAGCCGACTCGTGTCTGTAACTCATTTGAAATCAGCTGACTTTAAGCTTGTGCTTGTGAAGATGCCTAATTAAAGGGATACTTGAAAGGACCTTTGGTTTGCATAAACATAAACGTCAGTGGCTTTTGAAAATATGTGACAAAATGAGTTTAAGTCATCAACATCCAAATGACACAAAAACAATGAAAAGACAAAAACTGAAATGTGGAAGAGGCGCTACAATACCTTCTTGGATTTCTTTGGTTCATAGTCCATAGTCGTTCCGTCTTTCTCTGTGCTGATCCTGTGGTGGGTCAGTCCTGGTCCAGGTCACACTCTTCCTGAATTTATTTTTTGCTTCACTTTGCCTTTTTTGTCATTGCTTCTTTCTTTCCGTTGGTTTTTCCATTATTCCTTAAGTGTCTCTGCCTCTGAGTTATTTTAGCTTCTGATACAGCTGCTTCATTCCTGTTCTTTCTCTTTCTACACTGATTGTTCTTTTGAGACTTCTCCTGGGACCACACACACACATGCACACACACACACACACACACACACAGGAGAGGTGAACAGGAAGCAGAGGAAGCCCACTTCCTGTCCGAGAGGAAACTCCACCAGGGACTGATAACATCCATTCTTTCAGTGCTCACACACACACACACACACACACACACACACACACACACACACACACACACACACACACACAATTTACCAAATTCTCATAACTATTAGTTCAACCTCCACAACACTCAGTCATTTGTGCACATCATAGTAGCAATGTCTCCTCTCTCTGAACAAACTGCAAATGATTTTGGACATGAATCAGTTGCTTCCATACATTTCCCTGCTGCTTTCTGACATTTCCATTTGCTTATGTCATCTCAGTCAAAAGTAATCATACCTATAGATGCTGAATAGTCGTTCCCAATACAACTAATAGTCATACATCCATTGCTTGAGTCATCACACACAAAATTGTTGAACTAGTTATCACATGCCAAATATTGGCCATCTGTCAAGCAAATCCTATACCTTTCTGTATCATTGTTCCTGGAAATGTCTCCGAAATTGAACAATTGATCTCAGGTGAATTACAGCTGTCACTTATGAGGAGGCATGTGAAAGTTTAGTTGTAACCAATGACAAACAACTTGTTCACTGTCAATTATGGATGAATCCTGTGAATCCCCAATTGGCAAGCATATATAAACTGCGCAGGAGCTAGTGTGTACCATTTCTGCACTTCTGTGACACAAAATGGAAGGTCAGCACCGTGGAAGAGGGGTGAGGATGCGGGGAGGAAGGGGAAGAGGGAGAAGAGGCAGATATAGGCGGATTCCTAATGAAATAAGGGCTACAATTGTGGACCATGTTGTCAATCACGGCCTCACCATGGAGGAGGCTGGTCGAAGGGTGCAACCCAATATTGGAAGAACTACTGTCAGTTCAATCATTCAAACATTCCGTAGGGAAAACAGGTATGCAAACAGTAATACACTGTACTGTACTGTGCCAACTCAGACACATCACATGTTACTGTACTGTATTTGCAATTTCACAAAAAGTTCACTCTGCACCACATAGGCGTGGAAGAAATCGCATTGGACAGAGGTCCCTGGAAGTCCCTGGTCAGCGCGGAGGGAATATTACCATGTGTGCAGCCATCTCAGACAACGGTGTCCTCACCCATATCCCCCTTCTTGATCCATACAATACGCAACATCTCCTGACATTTTTAGACACTCTTTACAGGGACCTAGTCCCTGAGAATGAGAGAGGTGGAGGCCAACTCAGCAAGTATGTTGTTGTCTGGGATAATGTCCGTTTTCACCACTCCCATCAGGTCGGAGAGTGGTTTGCAGCACATGACAGAATTCTGGTTGAATATCTCCCTCCATATTCTCCATTCCTTAATCCAATAGAGGAGTTTTTCTCTGCCTGGAGGTGGAAAGTTTATGACCGGCATCCACATGAGCAAATGGCCCTGCTAGCAGCCATGGATGCAGCATGTGACGACATCACAGCAGGGTCCTGCAGAGGATGGATTCACCACTCCAGGAGATACTTTCCTCGCTGCATTGCGAGGGATAACATCTGTTGTGATGTAGATGAAAATATGTGGCCAGACAGACAGGAACGTCTGGATGTGCCAGAATGATTTACTGTACTGTTACATGTGCTGTTTATTGTTCACATTAGTGCACAGCTCTACCAAATGGGTGATTTTATGTTTACATGTATTCTACAGTGAACAAGTGACTGTAGCATATTTTTCTTTTGCACAATTCTGTAGGATTACAAACACTTCTACACAATGGAAATGTGAAACGTACGTATTCAGTGTCCCAGTTACTCCCAAGACTCCCATAACATCTACAGTGACTTTACTGCACATTTCAGATGGCTGTACAGGTAGGCCATAGTGCTGTCGTCAGCATTTTCAGGTGTCACCAATTATTTTTGCAATGGGAAACACTGAAATTACTAATAAATAATAATAATAATAAATAATAAACTGTCATAGTGGAAACATGACAATGACAATGCCATTTTACTATCTTGTTCATAAAGATGGTGTCAAGACTTTTCATTTTGATGGCACTGACAGTTTCATTGACATGGATACTTGCTTTTGAGGTATGGATAATCAATTCTGTGCATGTGACGTGCTTTTGCAGGCTATCCACTAGGTTTTGCAGTTTGCACTAATTGTTTTGGGAAATGCACTAACTGCTGTGCAAATGTTAATGGTGTTCTGAGGAACACACCAAAGCGACTGAGAAAAACTGTATTTTAGGGTCTACCTTAGAATAGAAAGCACCTTGAGGCGACTGTTGTTGTGATTTAGTGCTGTATAAATAATATTGAACTGATACCTACCAATAGCACTCTTGTCAGTCTTTATCATTAATGCTATTTAAATCATTAAAGAAAATTTCTACTTCTGATCCAGAACACAACTGCAAATAGATTTTTAATGTTCACTCTTGATATGGAAAGTAGGAGATGTACCTTTGTAACACGAGTGTTGCAGCTTCTGGTCACTAGGGGCTTCAGGTGTTCTTCCCTGGATAACAGAATTGAGATTCTCCTTGAATTATACAATTTATGCTATTTTCTGTATTTCTTCCAAGTCTTTTTGTCTCTTTCCCTTTTTTCCTAAAACACTTTTTAACATTAGAATAAATGTGACTTTATGTTGTTAAGTTGCTTTTCAACAGTCTTTGGTCATTTTGTCTTCTCAGCATTTTACCAGCTGTTTATTATAATGGTGTAGTTTAGATTTAAGACGAGTGAGTATTCACGTCCTGTCTTTCATTGTTATCGTGTTAAGTATGAGTCAGTGTTAACTTTCACAACTCCTTTGTGTTTCACTGTAATCAGCAGCAAAAACACATCTGCGTCTTTTGTGTTGATGATGACAGAATTTTCATTTGGGAGAAAACAGCCTTTGGAAAAGATACTACAGTCCTGTTTTTGATCAATAAGCATCTTATATCTATATATATATCCGTATATATATCCGTATATATATCTGTGTATATATCTGTGTATATATCTATCTGTGTACCTGTGTGTATGTGTGTGTATGTGTGTGTACATATCTGTAGATAGATAGATAGATAGATAGATAGATAGATAGATAGATAGATAGATAGATAGATAGATAGATAGATAGATAGATAGATAGGGTATATTTGCTTAGACTGTTGTCCCCAGAACCCAAAACCCAGACAAGCAGCAGAAAATGGATGGATGATCAAAACACTTAAGGAGGGAAGATGTTTTGGCCTTTCCACCCTTACAATTATAGAGATTTTGATAACAAATCAAAATTTTAAGCTAGAAGAAATCATTTTTGATCAAATAAAAAGAATAGTAACATGGAAAAAACAGCAGGCGTGTTACTCATTTTTCAAGGTTTCCTTAAACAAAATAAAACACATGCTGTGATATCGCTGGGCTTCCTGATGCCCAGCTGATGAACAGTTTGAAACCAAACATTAAAGAATCAGTTGCTGCAGTGAGCAGATTTGACCTGAAGGAGGCAGCACTGTGACAAAGACTAACTGATTGAGGAGGACGGGGAGCAAAGGAGGGTGGGAGGGACTTTATTGTCCTAATCTGGACACTGATGGAGGCAGAAGAGGAAACATCAAACCTGTGACCTTTCTGAGAAAGAGGGACACACACACACACACACACACACACACACACACATACACACATGCATGCAAGCGTGTCACGTGGCCACATGCTGATGGTAAATACTACTTGAGTGTATGATCTGAAATGGACACACAAACACACACAGACCTCACGCACGCACAGCTATTGTCAGGGTAACTACTCCATGGTGACTGGAGGGCTTAACGATCGTCCAGTTACCTAGGTAACAGGAGACAAAGATGGGGCATTTATCTTTTGAGTTTCTTTTTTTTTCTTGTCCTGATCTCTCTCTTTCTCTCTGAAATTCAAACTCCTCCTTGTCTTTTAAACCAAACCACAAAGCTTTCCTAAAACCCACCAGGTAGGTTTTGGTGCCTGAACTTTACCAGCAAGTGAAAACCAAAGTAAAAGAGCAAATGCTTGCAAAGTGAAGCAAATACCTTCACGTTGCAAATAACAGGACATGAACTGTGGTCTTCTGGCTGTAAAGTCTGTGACTTTCTCTGTTACCACCGTTTCAGCCTCCAAGTGTGGACTTTGTTGTGCTTAAAAGGGCAACATTGCCTCTCAGGGTAAGCGAGACATGTTAAGCCAATAATACTATGGGTTCAGGCAAAATAGCTACTTAGTCAGGCAAAGGGAAAATATCTTTTTAAAAATAACTCCACTTGCAAAATTTACACACATTTATTTCAGATTTTCTAGGTTGCTCTACATTTGGCTCGATCTGCAGGTGATATACATTTTGCATGAGCTTATTCACATGGCTGCTAGAGGTCACATAACTTTCAAATGTAATAAGGTTTCATAATATCATCTGAAATTAGCATTTTAAAATTAGTTAGAACAACAATGACTAAAACTCTCATTTTCCTTTGGTAGCAAAATAAAAGGATGGAGGAACTTTGTGGCCCTTTGGGAGCCCTTAGAGGAAGAGCAATGTTCGGCACTTTGAAGTTGGTTTCATTTATTGGCCTTTGATTCTTTGTGTTTTAATTTTCTTTTCCAGTATCAAACAGTCAGAAGCATTGATATTCAACACCTGTAGGCTTCAATGCTGACAACAGAACTGCAAATAATGGCTGCTAGTGCCACACAGGACAATCTGAGTATTACAGAAACTACCGACTTACTACGATTTCCTCATACAGCCATATCTACAGTTTACAAAGAATGGTCCACAAATGGGAAAACATCCAGTGAGCAGTAGATCTGCGGATGAAAATCCCTTGTTGATGCCAGAGATCAGAGGAAAATGGCCAGACTGCTTCTAGCTGATAGGAAGACAACAG